AAAACTAATTTGAATTCAAATGACTAGTGAAATGATTAGCATTTGATGAAAACTCTTTAGATCTGATAAACGATAGTAATAAAAAATACAATCTCCGGCTTAATATTTTAAAAATAAAACTACCGTAATGTGTCAGCAATATGTTTTCTGGTTTAATGTCACGATGTGCAATACCCATTTCATGAATATGTTTAATGCCTGCGATAAGCTGCCGAAAATAATGTTGAACCTTAAGAATAGGTAAGCCAACTTGGGATTCTGAAAAAATTACTTACTTTAAGAGTTTAAAGTTTGAAAGTTAATTTCAAATTCCAAATCACTCACTAATAATGCGGAATAATTCTCCGCCTCTAGCGTATTCTAGAAACATTTCTATGTGACCTCTTCGATAACGCATTCCAATAAAATTAGTTACAAACTCAGAACGTCGGACTAATTTCATAATTAGCGCCTGTAAACATGAAAATTTGAGTTTAATTAATTAAGGCATTTCTGACCCAAACTTGACCAATGTTCAATTAAGTGATCAGATACTCGACCTTCTTAATCCAAGAAGTTTTATACTTCACTGAATAACGAATTCTGATTTCACTTCAATCTGAATATTATTTATGCTCAAAATGTACATTTCATGATGGACTTAAAGGAGGATCAAATTTCTGATATCATTATAACAAAATATTTCTGACTGCATTAGGAATTTGAATTTAGTATCTGAGAACGAATATTCATTTATTTATATTTCACTCGCAATAGAGATTTAATGCAAATTTTAAGTGAATTTAAATAAAAGCTAATTTAATGACTTCAATTCCAAAAATTGAAATGTTTCTTAATTGAGATACAATGTTATTAGCACTGTTGTAAAGTTTTGTGCAACAATTATACCTCTCGCTGAAGTTTTGCGAGCAGAGATTTACCTTCACCATTCATATTAGATATATTGACATACTTCACCGCGTATTTCTGTCTCAGATTTACTGAATTTACGACTAAGTGAACTTTTCCAAATGTACCTAAAACGTCTAAGTGTAAAATTAGCTGCAGTGCAATACATCAAAATCAATATTATATTATAAATTATTTTGGGCGAGTAATTCAAAAAAGATTAAAAACTTGCATACCATTGCCTAATAATCTCAGTTTCGTCCACTGATTATGGCAATGTGATGGTGGCAATTTTAGTCGATTACTGAATTGACCAACCATCATGTAACCTTTCCATAATACAGCTTTGGCCTTATCATCTAATTCACCGTATTCATTAAACATGGCTTAAAAATTAATCAGTGTAATTAACATTCCTAATTAATGATCAAACT